ACTACGACTACGACTACGACTACGACTACGACTACGACTACGACTACGACTACGACTACGACTACGACTAGGACTACGACTACGACTACGACTACGACTACGACTACGACTACGACGACTACTACTACGACTACTACTACTACTACGACGACGACCACGACTACTACTTCTGCTACTGCTACTGCTAGTAGTACGACTACCACCGCTACCACTACCACGACCACAACTGCCACCGCTACCGACGACTAAGCCTATCAAGACACCAACTGCTACCGAAAACAAAGGACATGGAGAATGAAGATCCGGACATGTGCAGAACAAACCTACCACTAGCACTCACTTTAACGATAGTAAATAAACCCTAAACCCTAAACCTAATATTGATTGGCAATACACTCAAAAAAGCTGCAGTGCCCCGCCTCTAGGGACTCGAGATCCCAGCACAGAATCTCATCCTTGCCCTGCCCAGAAACCTTGGCTGGAGGCCAGAAAGGGCTCGAGGCATGGTATCCAAAAGCACAAATTTCTTATAAAACTCAGTTCGCTGATTTTAAACAGAAAGCGATATTTCATGCAGGGAGGGGCGGGGAACACTCGGTCAGACAGAAGGTAGCCTCTTGTGTCCACAACAGCCACAAGGGTGCAACCGCTCGCAAGTTAGTGATTACCATGTCCCTTTTTCTATGCACCACCTCCTAGGCCACATCACGCACCCACCCTGGATCCATGCACAAATCCTAAATAGACCCAAGAGGAAACTCGCAACAAGACACGCCTGCCCCTTGTGCAAAAACCCATAATCGACCCATTCAAAACACGACCGACCTATTCCAGGCCATTCCACGACCCATACCACTAAGCACGAAGAAACCCCTGAAACCCCCAAGCTGAGAAAATAGAGGAAGTGTATTTAAACATAATCAAGAGCACAGGATCAGGGTTTCGGGTATAGTACTGCCATAGCAGAATGATGTTAATACAGATTTGAGGGTTATAACTTATAACTATGTTACACTTGTGACTTGTCCGTAAGCACTTCACGCATGATTGCCGAAGAACAATGCAAGTTTAGTCCTTGTTACTGATTTTGCAGACAGGAGAGCTTTACAAGAGACAACCCAAAATTCCATCAACAGAGGCACTACGCAATACATGTCACAACAGCAACACATATGCTGCATATGCTAAACGCCTTCAGTCCACTGCGTACTAGCAGTCGTCAATTGCGCTTTAAGGTTAAGGTAATACAAAGAGATTGACACAATCCAGACGGGGCGTGGCCGAAGCCGAAACACCGGAATCTGGACGGGTAGTGAATGCACCTGAATCCTGAGCCTTGCTCCCACTCTGGCAAATATTATCGCAGACCACTTCCATTTTCGGAGGCACTGTTTCGTCTTTGGGGGTATCGGTGTGTGGATGTTGTATGGGCTCATTTCTTTTCCTTTGGGGGCTTTTATGGGTCGTTCAGCCTGTCGATCTTGAAGTGGGGCCATGCTGTCATCCTGTAGGCCGGGGCGTACTGGTGGGTTTTTTCTACGCGGGCGAAGGAGGTTGGCATGGTTACAACGTGGAAATAGTCATAGCAACTTCTCATGGGCTGCGGGCTTTCCTTGTGCTGCCAGCAACGCCTTCAGTGCAGGCGAGGAACGCAACCGATGAGCATGAACATGCCATTCGCCACCGCCTCGGAAGGATTCACGACAGCTGCATTGCCGCAATTGTAAGAACTTCTTCGCAAGAATTCGGCAACGCATTTCACAAGCGCAGGCTGGAAAGGAGCAAGCTCACTCTTGGAGGAAAGGCCTTCAGCCAAAGACACATCTGCTGCTTCCAAATACTGTGGTCCTGTTGGCGTCGCGATGCCCCCTGAATACACCACAGGACAAGACCCTGTCAAGCTGTGCGCATGGCGCTGCTCAGTTGCTGGGGCTTGTCGGACACCTGCGCCATCTTGGAGACAACACGAAGCCGTTGAACTACTATTGGTACATTTTCGGGGGTATAGTACAATATGAATGTTCTAACCTCCTAATAACGGACTCTGAGGAATGCTGTTACTGTGCCACATGATTTCGACCCCAATCTTATAGAGAGCTTGCTCTTCAGGATTTAAGTAGCAGCCAACCTGATCCAGGTCCCTTTGAGGAACCCTATATACGTCTACTCTTCATACGGCACCCAATGGTTTGGGAACCCGAAACGTCCCTAATTTGGACAACCACCCATTAGCCTATACCCTCTATCTAGATCCCTAAAAGGAACCCTTTAAGGGGAGCCTTTTTTTGGTAGAACCCTTCAGTGAGACAGGGACCTTGAAAATTAGAAATAAGGCTTGTTATACTCTCTATATTTACGACAAGGAACCTCCAAACTGGTATCGGTAATTATTTAAGCTTTAAGCGCCCATATGATCCCAAAAAAGGAACCCTAGTTTTGACACACCCTAAACCCTAAACCCATATTATCCAAAAAGGAACCCTAGTTTTGACACCCACCCACCTGATCCAGGTCCAGGATCTCAAGCTCTTCGCCTTGATCCTGAGAAGGGGAAGGGTTTATTAGGGGTTTAGGATTTCGGGCTCAGGGGTTTAGGGGATTCGGGGTTTAGGGATTCGTGGGGTGTAGGGTTTAAGGGATTAGGGGTTTAGGATTTCGGGTTCAGGGGTTTAGGGGTTCAGGGTTTGGGGGTTCAGGGGGAAGCTGCCAAAAACAGACAAGGCAGTCGCGGCGATGAGGTGACAACCCAAGCATGCCCAAAACGGTCCCGGTTGCTATTGTTCAGATGGAACTCCCCAAACTGGAAGTTCGAAATTACAGGAAGTCCTCTAGAACTCTTTCCTGGGATTTCAGGAGTATTGCATTCTTTCCCGGCCACCTAAAGGTGGTTCGCGAATGCTTGCTAGGCTAACACAAAACAGATTGAACAGTACGGACTGCGTCTGAGGCTGGTGCGGCATCCCAAAGGACGATGCTCCCTGTGGAACCCATGGCCAACATGGAGCCATCCGGGCCTCGATTGGTGCAGGAGATCAACAGCATGAAGGAACCGGCTTTGAGTGCGCTGTCTGGGTTCGTTTTCATCTCGTTGAAGGGCTGGTCGCAACCGAAAATCCGCACGACAGCCAAGCCGGATGCTTGGGTTTTGCTGGAATCGGGTGTACTGGGCCTTCAGAATAATTCGAACAGGTTTGGGGGTGTATCATACCATACCTATATCAGGATGCCCAAGAAATAATCTCATCAGTCATTCAGGCCCCTATAGCCATGATAAGGACTTGCCTGGTGCTTCTTTCTTCGTGCCCTCCTGCGGATAAGCGCTCGGCTGAAGCAGCCCGCATGGATCGGCCGCCTCTGCCAGCTTCCCATGGCCAGGCATTGCCTTAATGTGCAAAACAACCGAAACAGATTGTTACACACTTATGTGGGTAGTTCTCTAAATTAGGGTCCCTTTGGGGTCCAATTTATAAGGGGGCCCTAATTTAGAGAACTACCCATGTACAGGTTTACTGATTCATACACCTATCTGTTTGCCACTCGGTTTGATTTTTTGTACCAGTGTGTCACTTTATCCATCTAGGACTATCTTGTAAATACCGTACACCTGAACGAGAACGTGTTATGCGGCGTGCGTACTGAATGGGATGTGACCTACTGGGCAAACACTCCGGATCGCTACGGTCTAGCTTCTGCTTCTCCGACTCACAGCTGCTTGCGCTGACAGAACTCACTGGGACTGTGCTAGGGAGCGCGCCAGCAATGTAGTGGCTCCTTGCCTTCCTTCTTCTCCTCCGCCGGAAGTCGGTCCCAAAGCTTGTAGTTGCCGTCCAGCGACCTTTTGGGCAAAGTAGCCCACACCGAAAAGACAACTTGAGAGCCGGGGGCGCTGGGCTCGGTACGCGGTGGCAAACATGTACCGGAGATCCGGATTTGCTATCGCCACGGTGACCTGGTGTCAGGACTCGCAGAAAGCACAAAGCCTTGCCTTGACCTGGCAAGTCCAAATTTAGCCCACCTCGGCCGTGTGGGGGTTGTTGGACACACTGTCCAGGACGTACTGATCAGTATCAGTCCGTCGCCACCACTTCAGCATGCAGCTGAAAGCCTGGGCATCAAGGCGGGCGTCCCAGGAGTTGGCAAACCCACAACCTACTAATTAAGCTTCACCAAATCCATGTACTCCCTTCTGCAACAGTCACTCGACATCACCATCGCCACCCCAAGGAGGGCACTCGCCTCTGGAATATCCGAGGTTCCCCCTATCATCATAAGAAGACCGCCCACAATGCAAAACTGCACTCATCTTGCTTCCTGCGCCGTGTCATGTCCGCTGATACTCAGTCGCCAGACTGCCGGGATGCAGTATCATGAGTTGGCGGGTTGCTGCATTGGCCAAACTTGTTGGACCCCCATCTGAACGGTTGCTTCGTAGTGTCCAATACTGTACAAGACAAGTGTGGAACGCACCTGCTGAAAGATCTGCCAAATCAGCTCCTGATCTGCCGTCCGCAATCAGCACTGCATCAAATCATCGCACGCAAAGCAGACCAGTTCACTCTCTCTGCCCCTTGCGCAGGTGTGAACGTAGCCTGCAAACACGTCGGAAACAGCCCCTAAAGCCAAAGGAACATCGCACTGGCCCGCGCTATTGTTGCCAAAACAGAACAGCTCGTCACGTGTGTCCACTGCACATGTATGCGCTCCGCTTGCAGAAACAGCCTTGACCTGTTTCAAACCAGCTGGCACGTCACATTGTCCATGTTCATTGCTTTCAAAGCAGAACAGTTTCCCGTCTGCATTGACAACGTGTGTGAAAGCCCCCTGCTGAAAATCTCACAATGTCCGTAATGCCATCTGGCACATCCAACTCGCCATTCGAATTTAAGACGCTGACGCGGACTCTGCTGCTGCTCTTCACCACAGCTGGGGTGCTAGCCGATGCGGGGTCGAAGTGTTCGAGAGCCGGCGACAGTCGTGTCTCGCAAGTCCTGCTTGCAATGCTCCGGGCAGGTCTTGTTTCGCTGGCATCTCAAAACCTGGATCACTAGTTTGCTTCCGTAACCCCAAAGGCTTCTGGACAGTGCACGACCGAGGGAGCACGAGCAGGAACCAGTGTGGGCGGTCATGATGCAAGACGCATCTGCACTGAAGACGAGCTGCTGCAAGGCCTGGATCTGGGTTCTGCAGTTCAATTCTACTCTGGTTGATGGAATTGGGGCTCTTCCTCTTTTAGCTCTGAGAGAACCGAGCTACACACTTGACGAGCTGGGATTTCAGAGCGACAGCACCGCTGCGAAAATAAAGTACTGTATGATTCATTGCTATACAAACGACGTTCAAAGTCTAAAGTGTTCATCCGATAGAGCGGACACTCAAGCCCGCTGACAGAAAGGACGATCACGCTCCCGGACTTGACGCACTGCTGTCTGCATGAACTGAGGAGGTTCGAGCAAGACTACAGATTTCCTCTGATCGTACTTCTGCTACCCATGCTCACTCAATCAAGCAGCAAGATGTGGAGGCTTGCAGAGAACACAGCTTGAAACACACAGACCAATTCATCTGGCAGTTGCATGTGGAGCATCAACAGACAAGACCAATCTGGAGGTCCAAAGTCCGAACTACTGTAAAAGCATCGCATTGTTCCTTCATCTTTTGTATGAAGTGTATATACCCCAGTCATTGTGACGAATTACCTTGGGAGTTGCTGTGCATGGGAACTGAGTACTACGCTCGCTCTGTATGCCCTTGTGCCAGTCCTGTGTGTGCAACGTCATACGTACATACATACATACAGACAGACGGACGGATAGACAAAAAAACACAAACATACGATCAACGTACTCTGTCTGAATCTCGCTCTCTCTCTCTCTCTCTCGGTCTCTCTCTCTGTATACATTAGATGTATATATATATATATATATGGTACCCCCCCCGATACCTAGGTCTGCTCTTTTCCCTCAGGAGCATGAAAACCAAAACTTGGGTAGCGGAGGGAGGGTCGACATTTCCAAACTATAGCTCTGGCTCAAGAGGTTTCTCGAAATTCATGGAAATTGTTGGTTTGACTAACATTTTCCATGATTTCCGACAGACAAACCATGGAAATTGTTGGTTTTACCAACATTTCCAACAATTTCCATGATTTTCCAAACTATGGCTCTGGCTCAAAAGGTTTCTCGAAATTCATGGAAATTGGTGGTTTTACTAACATTTTCCATGGTTTGTTTGTGGAGAATCATGGAAAATGTGGGGGTTTTATCAACATTTCCAAC